ACAGAGACAAGACCCAGACAGGAATCTGGGTCTTACCTTCGTCAACTCCCTACACGTGTTCCTTCATCCTTTAGAGACTACAGCAACGCTCTCTGGTTTGTTGATTTCCAGGGTCATGGTCTCCAACATGTCTGATGTCTTGTTCCCGGGCTGCTCAGCTTCCTTTTCCAACAGTTATTCAGCTAGCACCGTCATGCTTTGTATGTCCGGCTGTCTGTCCAGCAGGATCCCAGAGGGGGAGTCACAGCCTGTGATGAAGGCACCACCTGCCTCGCTCTGCATGAATTCCACAGGCCCACTCCGGTCACTAGATACAGCCGGAGGGCTGTGCAGAGAACAGACACTGAACTCTGGCCTCTGTTCAGACTTGAAGGGGTGGGAACATCAGGGGCTGTGGTAGGCAGGGCAGCCCGCAGGCTTTTGGCATGGAGTCCTCAGTTTCCTCCCTGATTATTGACTTTCTGGTGCATTTTATTCCTGTGTCTCCTCAGCTCTTTGAATTGCTTTGCTATTCTGATAGACAAATATCCTTGGATATTTCCTGTCCTGCCCCGAAAGAAACCACAGCTCAGTATTCAGCAAAAAAATCTCACTGGTCTAGATTTCTCTCACCTCCTGTTCCCATGTGAAAATCTATACATATTTCATAACGCACGCTCCACCCTAGCCAAGGTCCAGGATCAGATAACGTATGAATGAATGTCTCAGAGGCTAGCAAGCATCCTTGAACCAGGGACTTTCTGAACATAGGTAGTTGCTATTAATACCCTGGACTTGGCATCAAAACACATTTATAGCCACCTGTGTTGGGCACATCTGTAACCTGAGTCATTTTAGAGGTGAACCCAGGAGCACCACAGGGTCAAGGCCAGCCTGGTCAGGACAGCAGGACCTTGTTTCATAACAGTGTTTTTGTTTTTTGAAATCTGCAGATACAGCTCTCTGGTAGAGTTTTTGCTGACTCACTGGGTTCCGTCAACAGTTCCCCTCCCCCGTTACAGAGAAAAATCCTCCATGAAGCTGTGTTTTTCTCATCAGGCTTAGAATTCTTATCAGAAATCTAAGTCGGATTTCCCTACAACCGCAGGAGAGGGCCAGGAGAGTGCAGGAAGGCTTTGGCCACCTCCAAGAAGAACTATATAGCAAGAGGAAGCAGGGTCTCCAAACAGGAAGTCCGACTTCATGAGCAGAGAGAAAGGAGAAAGGGAGGGGAGTGGGAACTGGAAACTTCCAGAACTAGCGGAGGAAGAGAAGAATAGAAAGACTTCTACTTTCTCAAGATGCCCTCGGCCCTGCTGTGGAGATTAAGTCTGTCATAACTACAGCCATCTTGAGTTGTAACCACCACCAATAACCTTGAGTAACCCTAGTCAGATTTTCTTATGTAGATTCCCAGAAAACTAAAACATTAAATGGAATTTGGGGAACTGTTCCCTGCCATGACCTGAGTGCTTTGGCATCTTGAACCTGACT